CTGCAGGAAACTACAACAACAATGATTCTACACTCGATGCTACTCACTCAAGAACCCTTGCAACACACTTGAGGAGAATTTAAGGACTTCTGGTGCATTCGTAGACACCTGGCACCAAAAAGAAACCTCTTCTTCAGGCTGCAGGAATCCTGGTCTGGCTCGAACATTTACAGGAACCCTAATCGGTCCTTTTAGTCTTTCTGCTTCCACTGAGGCGTAGGATCCACCAGACTTATGACGGGACTCAGAGAAACAACAGTGGAGGGAACCAAGATGTTGTGTTTAATGTTGTTTGAGAGGCAAAAACTGATGCTATTTTTTAAAAAAAGGCATTTGATGTTGAAAAAGCGTCACTGAGTCGCTTTCAGAACTGTTCAGAAGTACTGACTCCAGAGTTAAGACTATTTCCCCCCCAAAAAACAGCACCGTACATAAATATAAGGCCTTGTGTTTGCCCCTGGAAGGTTTTTAAGACATACAGAACATCTTGAAGGACCTCTAAAAACCCTTTTAGAACCAGTGAAAGCTCTTCAAGGATCTCAGGAGTCTGCAGGAACCTCCAGAAACCCTTTAAAGGCCTCTTGCTTGAGCACCTGTCCAACCTCTGCATCCTGCTCTCTGATAGGCTGTCAGGTGCCTGTTAAACCTCAAGCATCAATCTGATGAACACTTCAGCCGTAAGACACATTAAGCTGCAGGTAACTATGACAACAGTACAGATGCTAATGCTACAATGTCCGCTAACACTTGACTAAAACCTGCATAAACACGATGTGAACAGGCCACAGAGCAAACCACAGCGTAGCCACGCCCACCACCGGAAGTCAAAACCCAGGATTGGATGCTGCGTGATTGACAGCTTAAAGCAGGAAGTAACCAGACTTAAACTGTGCGTGTGTGTGTGTTTAAGGGAGTTTGTTTGTGCTACAGTGTGTGTGTGTGTGTGTGTGTGTGTGTTTTGCGCAACTATGTGATGATGTCGTTTCAGAAAAATGCGGTGATCCAACCGAAGAAACACGCAAGGACGAAAGAGGAGTGAAATGGAACGCAAAGGAAAGGAAAAGAAAGGAAAGATGGGAGGCGAAGGGAGAGGAGCGGGTGAGGATTCATAGGAGGTAGGAAAGGAAAGAAGGAGTCTGAGAATCGGTGTGTCCTCTCCAGATGAACACCCAGCCTCATGGGGCTCTGATGGCCCGCTTCCTGTTTTTTGGGATGACGAAAAAGAGACAGCCTCCCCCTTTCCACTCGCTGGTATCTGATAACCACCCAGAGTCCAGGGAATTGTGGGAGAATGGAGTCATTCTGCCTGTTTATCTACGGGACCAACGAGGACGGGACATTTTAATGACTCTGTTGTTGAAGTCACCTGCAAACATGTTGTTGCTCAAACCTGAAACCTGGCCTCCATGAAAGTGTTGCACATGTGTTGGTTCTCTATAACGACAGACACCAAAGCTGAGTTTAATACAGGCTGGTCTGCAGTTGCACTAGCTCCCCCTGGAGGCCGCGGTGGTCGTTGCACCCACAAACTCGCAACACTTCCTGGATCTGACCTCCATATTAGGATGAAACTGGCTTCAGCTCAGCGTCAGTATTTATAGAGCGTATGGAGGCAGAGAGGGGAACGGTAACCCGCTCACAACTTATTCTGTCATCGCAAAATCCTGTGATTTTATATTTATTTTTTTTAATGAAAAGCTTGAAAGAAACCGCAGCAACCCTGTTTCCTAAATTATTATTTGACCACCTGCTGTTTTCTTTCACAAAGTCAACACAAAAGGACGTCTCACTTTGTTAGAGTTTTATCAGAGTGGTTCAATAATCACAGCTTCTGCTCAAAGACACAATAAAAGTCTAGTAATAACTAAATTCATGCAATAAAACTGGAACTGTAAAAAATCACACTGGATGACTAAAAACACCTTCTGAGTCACTATTATTTTGTGTTTAAGCTAAGTTAATCCAGACTAAAGTCATACTCAGCAGAGACGCCGCTAACTGGCTTGAAACCAACAAAGCAGCGTCTAATAAAACCTTAAAGAGAAAATGTAGAATGATTCCACCAAGAACTGCAAAGAAGGAGACAGAAAACGGTGCATATTTTAGGAAACTGTCTGGTTTGTTTACGTCTTTTTGTTTTTCTTTAGTCACTTTGTTCCACCTGGTTAAAGCTGCATTAAGCAATATTTTTAAGTAAACAAAAAAAAAAAAAAAATCAAATTCACATGCAAACATTAAAGTTACGGCTTTTAGTGAGACGAATAACTACCCGACTGATTCTGCACTTCAGTTCGCATGAGCTCGTTGTTCTGGTTTTGTAAATGTTCTGGTTCACTCTCTCGGCTCTCACAGGTTTTCTTGCAGCTGTTTTCAGCAACAACAACAACAACAACAACAACAACAACAACAGCTCTGTGCACCATCAACCGTGGACCAAGTTTCAGAAGGACAATGTTAGCGACTAGCTTGGGAACAGAGCGTGTTAAAAAAAACAAACCAAAAGGACAGCGACTTGTCTTTATTCCACCGACAAGTTTGGATTTCAAGCCTTTTAGAGAAATAAAACTTAGTAATTGGTAATTTAGAATATGATTGACTCTAGAGGATAAACTAATTCCTCTCAGTGATTATAGTGTGTTGGTTGAACACAGTTTCTTTAGAAGATCTCACAACTCGAAAAGGTTGTTTCTGTTGTGCATAAATATTTTATTTCAGAGTTTGAGAGTAAAATGTTGTCCAGCCCATTTACAGAAATGAAGATAGACTAAATATTTAAAAAAAACAACTCTCACGATAAAACAATGCAGCTTAGCAGCAGGACAGCTTATTAAAATACAAGAAACACGGGATTTGCCTCCAATATACAGCGATAACTTATTCAAATACTATGGCTGTGATCTCTTCCTACTCCTAAATTATTGTTCAAATGAACAGAACTTTATTTAAATTCTGGTGAAGATGCCAAAGTTCTGAATTATACTCTTAATATGAGAGGCTGAGTTTTGGAAATAAAACAACAAAATGATGGACATGGCGTCTAAGAACAAACAATAATCGCATCTTTTGCAGAGCAGAAAGAAATGATGACCCGTTTTGCAGAAAGTGTTGCATAACCAACAGCTGTACGAGGCCGTGGTGATGCAGCTGACGAGGACACGGGAAAAAAAACAAAACAACAAAACACTGGTCGGCGGTTACCATAGCAACCAACGAAAACCCAGTTTGTTTTCCCGTCGAGTTCGAGCCCTCGGTCACAAACGCACAACAGGACGAGGCGATAAATCACACTCAAACAGAGGAAACGCAGGCAGGACGTCCCGACAGCAGAGGTGAAGACCTCCTCAGCTGACGGCGGCGCCGACACTGATCTGACATCACTTCCTGTTTCAACAGCGTCCCACCGACCAACGTTTGGGAAAATAAATAGGATTTATCAACACCGGAAGGAACCGATGTCAAATATCGGAGAGGAAATGCAAGTCAGCGACACAGCGGCTGCAAACAGTGAAACTCCATCACACTGTCCTGCTTTTACTTTTAGGCTTCCTTTTTAAACTGTTCTTAACGGTGCTGATTTATCGAATAATTCAGTGCATGATTAAACATTTCCTGAGTCCGGCCTCTTTGTTGCTGCTGCTACGGTTCACATGCAGTTTAAAACGATGGTGGTAGTCCAAATTATTAGTAATTGTTGATGTAGTGCTTGATTACAGCCGGATATAAGGCTGTGTTGTAGTCTTTCCAATGCCATGTAGCATCCAACGGCTTCAACAGCAACCCAGAGTGCATGAAAACAACTTCAACAATTCCAGTTTTATGAGCATGTAGGAAATTAAACAACATGCCAGTGTGGTGACTTTTACATCATCAAAAGCGATGTTAAAGAGGAGAAGACCACTCCAGGACAGAAAAAACGGCTTTTTGATCTCTCAAAGTTTAACCAATTAGCATTTATCGTCAGAATTATGGGTTGAGATTTAAGATTTTACAAAGAAATCAAGTGTTACATGTCAAATAAAAAGCAAGAGCAGCAACTCCAGGGAGTTCTGAGTGATTACCAAAGTGCAGGAATGTGCAAATGTGCATTTTTTTTGTCTGACAACGTGTAAATTTGCAAAACATGTGACGTAAACAACTTGAGATGTGCAAAAAACAACAACACAGTGCATTAATGAGCTGAAAATGACGAGCTTCGCTGTGTTTCAAGCTAAGTATGCTAACATTAGCTTCGCGACTTGGTTGGACGTCTCTGGTTTCATGTTGGTGACGGTTCGACAAACGTCAACGTGTTGGGTGAAGAAAACACTGTTTCGGTTAAAGCTGGGGGAGATAGAAAAGGAAAAACAAGCCAGTTTTCAAACCCCAGTCTGAATGAAAAAATAATTATAAAAACAAACAAAAAAAATCCAACAAAAAAACAGAAGAGCAACAAAACTGCTCAATAAATTTCAGTGGTTCACGTAAGTAGTTCTGTTGTTTGGTTCTTTGAGCATGTTGACATTTATCCTCGTCTTTATTTCTCTGTTTTTTAAATCTAAATATAAGTTGTCCTATTTTGCAAGTTGTTAAAAGTGTTCTCAGGATGTTTTGTGTTTGAGATGCTTCATATTATTATTTTTTCTTCTGTATGTTGTAATAAGGGGGTTCATTCTAGTTGAGGCTTTAGAATGACTTTGTAAATAAATAAAAACCTAAACCTGCTTACCCCGGCTTTAACAAGTTTAGCTGTTGGGCTGTAAATTTCTTAAAAATCCCATCTAGCAGCACGGCGGCGCTAACGTTAGCCTACACTTTACATGTTAGCATCCAGGAAACTTCAGTGATCCCTAGAATAACGTAGAAATGCTCTCAGACTCTGGAATACTTTGCATTTTCGGGTTTTAAATAAATGAAACCACCATCTAAACCCTTTATTGACAGACTGTCGTTTAGACTGAAGACCAGAATATCGGGTTCTACCACTCGGTCGACCGACGGGGGGGGTCTCAGGCGTCTCCTACCTGTTTTTGATGCGTAGCTGGACTGCTGAACATGGTCTGCTGTGATTGGATGACGGAGGTGTTTGTTGTTGTTGTTGTGTTGGTGGTGGCAGTGAAGGAGACAGAGGAGGAGGAGGAGGAGGAGGAGGAGGAAGATCAGTGAGGGAAGGAGGTGAAGCGACAAACTCCTCGATGTATCCGGGATCAAACTCCCTGAAGAAGAGAGGCAGGAAATACAAACATTACTCCTCCTGCAAGGTGTTCCGTCTTTTATAAAGTGATCCACCAAATCTAGAGAAGTGGTTTCACGTGCCAGTGCTATAAATATTCAAATTAAATATGAATACTTAAGTGATGACTTAACAGGCTGGGTCTTAACAAAACAAAGGCGGATCCCTAATGAAGGCTAAACAACACCTGAGTCATGTCACGGTCACCGGTCTGCTGCTCAGAGTTGCTATTTTTAACATAAATACCATCATATACTTTTAATTTCTAATTATTTCAGTCATTTCCAAGCTGCTAGCATCAACAAAACTTCATTCCTTCACAATAAAAGCCTCCCAGGAAACGCGATCGTGATTTTTACGTGTGTTTTACAATTTGGAATCTCTGCAGTAAACGTTGAGTGTTTTTGGCGATTTAAAAGCCACCAACGAGGAAGTGAAGCAACCCGATGATAATCTAATCTACAACCACCATAACCGCCAAAGTGCACCATGTTGGACTGGTTACAACAGGACGGTCTGCATGTCTGTTCTCTGCTCTGTTCACCATCGTTGCATCTCGGTTTCAACGTTTATGAAACAGCCGCCTACGGAGCGCGCTCAGTAAGTAACAGCGAGCATGGTCGAAGGTCAGAGGTGACCAAAACCCTGAGAGCTGAAATCCTCCGGTGTGTCCTTTTGTAATCTGAACAATGAAAACAAAGACGATGACTTTCTGTTTCCGTATGTAGGCCAGTGAATCACCTGTTTAACTACCTGCACGCTCACAGACGCCTGATTGGATGAACTGGTTCATTCAGATGACTGTCCACTGACTGTACGTCTTAAAGCCACAGTCCGATATTCAGCATCCGTTCACTCAAGACGTGGACGGAGGGCGAGTTTAGCGTAGCTTAGCTTAAAGAGTGGAAACGGGGGGAAACTGTTAGCTCAGTTTGAAGGCAGATACTGTAGACATGTAAATTTAAAAAATGAAACTTAGCAATTTAGTAGCAAAACTTTGACAGCAAAGGGATCAGAAAAAATATGTAAAATACTGCTGAAGACTGTAATGTTTAAAATCTGTAGAAAACTGTGAAGATGCTGGTAAATAATCGTAAAATAATGATATTGTAATATAATTTAAATATAGTAAGACTGTGTAATTTTATGGCCACACATTGTAAAAAAAACAAAAACAACAACAACAAAAAAAAAAACACTTTTGGCTTCTTTTACAGTCAACATGTAAATCAATACTTTTTCTGTAATTTCACAAAATATTGTCTTTAATTTAACAACACATGGGAAAAATCAATAAAACAGCAATAAACGAATCAGATAAGTACCGTCACAAAAACTGCTTGTAAATGCTTTTTTTTTCAACAGTAAAGGAGTGGAGGAGGTTGGGGTGGATGGAGGGGTTGTTTCCTTCTGTTTAACTTATTCTAATGCCAGGATATGTATCAAACACCCATGATGTGTAGAATATAAATCCGACTTAAGGATACTGAAATAACATGTCAAAGCTAAGCTAGCTTAGCATGGAGAGTTCAGGTTTTTGTGTGACGCTGATGACTGTTGGTTACAATACTTCTTGTCAACACTTCATCTAAGAAACAACCAATGTTTAACCTTTTATATACTGTTCATATTTTATGCTTTCACAGTGCGGTTCGGGTCACTTCTGAAGAATTCCTGTCAAGAATTCCCTCATAATAAGTGTTTATACCAAATTTTAAACTACAGATCTATTTAAAATGTCTAAACAGCCAACGTCACATTAAAAACGTGAATAAAAAAACACGGCCTGAACAGATTCACTGCTTCAAGATTCCCTAAAACCACCATTCTCCTGGATTGGACCCACACTGGTTGATCAAAAGTCCATCTCAATGGTTAAATGGGTCAAATTTGACCCAAAACAGCCTCAGTGGACAAAGACTTGTAGCACCTGCACGATAGCATAACATCCATCCATCATCTCTACACCTTAATCCTCACTGGGGTCATGGGGGGCTGGAGTCTATCCCAGCTGACTCAGGGTGAAGGCAGGTTCACCTGGACAGGTAACCAGTCTATCACAGGGCTACACTTAGAGACAGACAACCAAGCACACTCACATTCACACCTACGGACAATTTACAATCACCAATTAACCTCAACATGTTTCTGGACTGGAACCGGCAACCTTCTCATTGCGAGGCAACAGTGCTAACCAACTGCGCCACCCTGCAGCCAAGCACAACACTTCATAATATTTAAAGTTTTGTGTGTTTTGGGGTACTTTATGAAAAGTCATCAAATTTCAGGCTAAAAGACGTTTGAGGTGTTTCTGCTGCTGCCAAATGTCAAAACAGGTCAAATTGAAAGTGTTTAAAAGCTGTTTGCAGTTTCTCATCTTGAATATTTATAATTTTTCTCTCAAATAAAGGCAAGTATCAGTAAAATAAAGGTAATTTTTTCTTAGATAAAACAAAAACAAAAGTGTAATTTTAAAGTCAAACATTATAAAAGAATGAATAAAAACACAGATTTATGGGGTGGACATTAATTCCACGTTTTAGCCCGTCTGTGTACCAACACTTATGGTCACATCTGCATCGTAATGAATGAAACCAACTGACCCAATGCTCCATGCACCTCCTGCACTTCATCATTTTGCGATCCAGTGGACTCGAGTCACCGTCAAGTGACAACCTTCTGACATGAGAACACCGTCGCCATCAGCTAACAAACATCTCTGTCTCTAATTAGCGCTGCTTCCTCCCTCCTCCACCCAGCGGAGCCATTGAAAGCCGCGATCCTTTTGAGAGACGCAGACAACCAACGCGCTTCACAATACATAACTCAGAAACGCAGAGAGCAACACGCCCAGGCTTATATTATTAACCGAGGACATTCCACGGCTGCAGCCTTCATGCAGCAGACACCAGGAGCACACACAAAAACACACACGTGCACACACACACACACACACACACACACACACAGGTGCACGGATAAAAGGCCATTAAAGTGAAAACCTGTCGAGCTGGTCAGAGGAATGCGAGGCAGCCGCGAACACCCAGAAATCACCAGAACGGGAGGGACGGCGTTGTCGCATTCCACTTTCCATCTCATCACACACACACACACACACACACTGTTGCACATTTTACCTGCTACTGACCTCACCTGAGTTCAACACTTACCAGGTAGTTACTCTAACACACATCTGAACTTCCTGCTCTGTTTGTCTTTTTTTTAAATCCAAGAGGATGTGCGAAAGGTGCCAAAAAAAAAAGCCCTAAATATGTTGGAATTTGCAGAAAATACGTCACAAAAATCCACCAACCAGCAGAACAAACCTGAACTTCTAGGACCTTGGTTCAAACGGCTGCAACATCAGAATCCCAGCAAACTAAAATTAGTTTGGTTGTTATGATAATTTGTTCAGTTGTAAAGATTGAAGATATTGATCCAAAGAAACCGAAAACTCTGATATGCAGGTGTTAATGGCTCCTTAAGGATATCAGTATGTGGAACTCCCAACTCATCAGTCAGAACTCTTGGATGAGAGGTGGAACGTCTTCAAGGAACTCAAGCAGTTGCTACAATTAATCTACTTGAACAACCACAACCTGGATGACTGAGAATCTTCACAGACAAACTCCAAAGACGTTTAAATGGAAAAAGAAAAGCCAAATATAATGAACTGTCTACGCAAGATGGTGTTTGTTCTGATTATCCTGCATCTGTTCTGCTACACCGCAAACAAAAAGCAAGAGGTTTATAACATAAATATGCCTTGATTAGCTTTATTTTTACATGTCAATGCTCTTTTTGTGCTGGTGATTGATGTGAAAGAGTTTGTTGCACCAGCTGGCAAAATGCAGCCTAAACCTGGAGCTATAATGGTCGCACGCTGCCAACAAGAGGCGTCCAGGTGGTTAAAAATGACAAATACAGCAGATTAGTCAGATCAAGAATAAACCCTCAAGCCCGGTGTTTTAGTAACCCAACAAGTATGTCTCATTTAGCTAATCCAGGTTATTAAACGTGGCTGGATTAACCCCTCTTAGCAGCACGGTCCTGCCTCTCTGTTTCTGCAGCGTGCACAGTCCTACAGTACCACCGAGGACATGATTTACTGGGACATTATATAAAACACAGCTCTGGTAAATAAAAGTTTACTGACAAAAAGAGAAAAAAATAGATTTTAACACACATTATTAGACACACAGTGAACTTAAGAGGTTCTGGGGGACTAGAAAATCTGGACATTTGCCTACTTTGCCCAGTCAATAATCCACCTTGAAACTAAATTCCTGACAAATGAAGATATTTGATTTAGGTCATTGACACTACAGCGGTTTCTGTGATGTTCTGGTACAACAACAGACATAAAGCAACACAAACCTCAATAGAAATACTGGAGCAAAGTGCCCACCACTAGACATCTGTCGTACCTGACAACATCCGAAGGACTTGTTTTGGACGATATCCAACTCGTTCCATGTTTATGTTCTGTTCTGTGATATCTAACAGGGTTCCTGAGGTGTGAGGAGCGATTTCGGGCAACTCCCTGGTTCCAGAAGTAAAAATCCCGTTCTTTTCTCCATAGACAACCTTACATGACCAACAGATGGAGACTTCTATGGCTACCAGTTCCATCACCATGAACAAAACATGAACACAAAATATCTTCTTCCTCTGATATTTGCTCTTCAAAAGAGTCAAGGGTACCACACTGTGTACGAGGGTACTTCAGAAGGTTCTCGGCCTTACCGGAAAACAAGGGGCGCAACTCTAGTTTTGGGGTATAACAGTATACCATAAAGCCTTCTATCACCCAACCTGCACCATCTGACTTCTGTTTCCCAACTAAAATCCCAATTGCGCCATTTTCAGACTGATGATGAGGTCATTGAGGAGCATCTGGAGCACCAAGATGTGACCTCTTCCCATGAAGGAAGAGCAAAGCTTGAACATCGGTCGACCAAGTGCACTGAAGTTAAAGGAGAC